ATTTTTATTGCAAAATATATGAATAGTATTTTTAAAAATACATTTCAAATATACTGTATGTCTTTAAAAATACAAATCTACATTTTTGGAATGCATTTACAAATATATGTAAAAATATATGTTAAAATGACTTTTTTTATATGTTAAAAAAATCTGAAGAATATATTTAAAAAGTATATATTTTAAAAAAATTTTTAACATAAATTTTTTTTAACATAAAAACGTCAGCAAGTCTCCACTGGCAGTAGAAAGATCTGTGTTGTTTTATAGACACAGATCTCTCTCCTATCAGTTTGCCCTGCCGATCACTGCGTTCCGGCCATGAATCACTGGCTGGGACCCGGTGATTGACACCTATAGGATCCAATGACAGCACGGGTAGGATGGCAACACTCACCCACACCTGCCCCTTGCACAGAAATGCAGAATCACATATATATATATATATGTGATTCTGCGCTGAGCAGCCGCCCTGTAGTGGTAAAACTGCTACAAGGTGGTCGGCAAGTTAATGATTTCATTCTTCTTACAGCATCTCTACTTGTGACGTCATGTCCTCTTGTGCTGCTGTACTAAGGACCCATTTACACTGTACATGCAAGACAAACCCAACCTAAAGCACACTGCAACATATGCTGTAGGAAACGTGCATTACCTTGGGAATAAAATGTCAGAGTTTTTTTTTTTTATGCATGAACACACATTGAGGGCCCACAAAAAAAGAATGGCCCTATATAAAGAATAAATTCACACCAGTGTAAACAGTCCCTAAATTTTAGTAAGTGAAACATAACATGGGTACAAATAGGGTTCAGACACCATTTTTGGTCTGCCTTTGTCTAACCTCAGTGGTACTCACTAATTAGGAGATATTTCCTAATCCAAGCTCCAAGCTCCAAGGAGCAGGGCCCTCGAACCCCTCGTGTATTGTATTGTTACTGTAGTGTCTCGTGTACTGTCTCCCATTATAATATACAGCGCTGAGCAAACCGTTGGCGCTATATAAATACTGTGCAATAATAATAGTTGCAGTGACCATGATGAATAGGAGTGTTCCAATATTCACCATTTGGTTATTACAGTTGTAAGCAGAGTAGTTTCATCTCAAATACAGGCCACAAGGTCATTGAATAGTTCCTAAAAACATAAAAATATATTAACTTTAGAAAAGGTCAATTATTTGAATAATTCAACAGAGCTGCTTTGCCAAACCACAACTATCCCCTGGCAAATACCAGAGCTCCGACCTAAATCACTTAGAACTACTGGCTGTAGCCTTTTTAATATTTTTGTGTTACATATAAAAGAGACCAGCCTAATATAAGCAATATTATCAAAATGTTACTGTATTAAAATCCAGTTCATGTATAATTTGTAGCTATCTATAAAAAATGGCAGTGGTATTTATATACATTTATATAATAATTCATATTATATATACAGGGTTGCAGCCTTTGTGTCTTGTGTCTCACTGTGACCTGGATTGCCAAGGTTGGAAGCGTAGAAGCAGCAGTTTTTTTATTTTTTTTGCTCATGAAAAAAGAAGAAATATTTCTTTAAAATATAAAATAATGATACTATTTGTTAAGGCTTACTGATACCTATCTGTTCATACAAAGTGTAAATTTTAATGATAGATCCATTTTAAAATATGTAGGTTCCCCTAAAATGATTTCAAATTCTATTTATAAATAACCACCAAACTAGTTATTTTCATTTAGCATGACTGTAAACATAATGCCTTTCTAAAATTTTCTTTATACATAATCTGAATAAAAACACATGTTCATAAAGGCAATCATACGCACTACGTTAAATATAGAAAGCTACTTTTAAGACAGCAGAAATATCTGAAGGAAACTTCCTGTGTGAGATATGTGACTACTCTCTTTAAGTGTGACTTTTCCATCTTTAGCAGTTTCAAAATCCCATTAAGGGAATGAAGGTGGTACATTAAGTCAATAATGCAGAAGTTTAAGCTTCTAATGGGTAGCTTATCTAATAAATTGTGCACATTAAAAAAGCATTACATTTACACAAAAAAGAAGACAAAGTTAATGGGTCTTTGGATTTTTCCTTAGAACGGAATGACTGATAAAAATAGCCTGAATCTGTGGATGTATCCATAAGAAGCAGTTCTGTAAATGTACTTCTATTAAGAAGGATGCATTCTATACACACATTAAAATCTCTGAAGTTTCTAGCAATTAGTGATGAGTAAATCTGCCTGTGTTCATCAAATTCTGCCTGAAATTCGCAAAGCAAAAAAAAAAGAACCACATTGAGGGGAGCGGGTGGTTTTGTTACAAAATTTTGCCCATTTTCGAGATTAACCACTTGCCCTCCAGTGGATTTATCCCCTTTCCTGACCAGGCCATTTTTTGTGATACTGCACTGCGTTGCTTTAACTGACAATTGTGCGGTCATGCAACATTGTACATAAATTAAATTTATGTCGTTTTTTTCCTCCACAAATAGAGCTTATTTTATCTAGTAAAAAAATTTTAAAAATCAGATTTCTTCATAAATTTAGGTCAAAATGTATTCTGCTACATGCCTTTGCTAAAAAAAAAAAATCCCAATGCGTGTAAATTAATTGGTTTCCGTGAAAGTTATAGCATCTACAAATGGCGGTATATATACTGGATTTTTTTTTTTTACTAGTAATGGCTTTCATCAGTGACTTATTGCGGGACTGCGGGACTGCAGGACTGCGGTGGGCATTTTGACTTTGGGGGGAGGGGGGGCTAACTAACTGCCACTGACATCCCCAGTGACACTAATATAGTGATCAGTGCTAATAAAAAGCACTGACACTGTACTAATGACACTGGGCAGGAAGGGGTTAACATCTTGGGTGATCAAAGAGTTAATTTGTGCTGTGTTGTGTTTTACATAGTGTGCTGTGTGTGTTTTACTATGTAGACAAGCTGCTTTGTATTGCTCTGCTATGAAGAGCAATACAAAGCAGCCTGTTTGTGTTGACAGGGGAGAGATCTGTGTTCTTTACATATAGACCTCTCCCGTCAGCTCTGCTGACAATCACCAAGTCCCGGCCGGTTGATTGACATGCCAACGAGCTAATAGCGGTCCGGGTAGGGAGAGCACCCCCTAAACGGAAATGCAAAGTCACATCTATATACATGATTTTGAGCATCCCTGCCACCCTTTAGCAGTACTTCTGCTATAGGGTGGTCGGGAAGCTGTTAATATAAAAGCTTTGTCAAAAAAGGATATAGCATGGCTGGATCTAGGTTGGCCACCCCATTGACATGGTACTGTACCTGGCCTGCTGAGCTCCTTCCCCCATTCCAACACTTAGGGCCAGGACACGAGTGGGCAGATTAGTGCAGTGAACTGTGAGCAGACAGCAGCAGCAGTAGAGAGGAAAGAATGGGGAGGAGGGCCCTTCCCCCTCCTGTCAGTGGAGTTCTCCTCTGTACAGTAGATCACACAGGATTGCTAGATCAAACGGTATACAGTATGATTATTCGCCCCCTACCCACATGCTGCCGGGAGATGAGCATTCTGTAAAAGATATAGGGGGTAGATAATCAAGCCGTACAATCTAATCTTGTGATTCTGTGTCTTGTGCTGTACCGAGGAGCTGTTCTGACAGGAGAGGGGAGAGCACAACACAGCTTGCACCTCCTCCGGTCTCTGTAGTAATCATCTCCTGCCTGTAAGTTTGAGGAGGGGAGTGACTTACAGGTGGGGGAATTGTAGTGCTGGGGGGAGAAAGTTGGGGGTAAAAATAATTTGTGCTTGGGCTGAGAGCTTTGTGGAGGTGGAGGGATGGGAGGCTATTTGTGCTGGAAAGGTTGGGGGGGATATGTAGTAGGAGGAGGAAATAGGGGGGCAGTTGCTAGGAGGGGGAATTGTGGGGATATGTACTAGGAGGAGGGATTGGAGGGGTATGTACTAGGAGGGGGGATTTGGGGGGGTATGTACTAGGAAGAGGGATTGGGGGGATATGTACTAGGAGAGGGGTTTGAGGGGGGATATGTACTAGGATGGGGGATCAGGGGAAAGTTACTATGAGGGGGGGTTGGGGGATATGTACTAGGAGGAGGAATGGAGGGGATATGTACTAGGAGGAGGAATGGGGGGATATGTGCTAAGACGGGGACTTGGGGGGTATATGTGCTAGGAGGGGGATTGGGGAGATGATATGCACTAGGAGGGGTTATTGGAGGTGAGAATTTTAGCCAGGAGTGGGTGGGGGGATTTTGGGTGCAGGGAGAATTTGTGCTAGGAGGGGGTGGGTGAATTTGGGTTAAGAGGAGAGGGCTGGGTACGGGCCTTGTGAAGGGGGAATTTGGGAGCATTTTTGGTGAAAGGAAGATTTATGCTGGGAAGAGTAATTTAGGGGGGGTTGTACTAGGTGGAGGGATTTGATGCGATTTGTGCTGGGGGGGGATTATGCTAGGAGGGGAGTTTTGGGAATAGGATTTGTGGTGGGAGGGGAAATTTGGTGGGGAGAATTTGTGCTAGGATGGGGAATATGGACTGGAAGAAGGAGGAATTTTTACATTGTTTGGGGAGAATTTTGGCTTGCAGAGGGAATTTATGTTTAGGGAGGGAGCATGATAATCAGTGCTGGGGATTTTTTTGAGAGGGAGGTATTTATGCAGATACATGATACTCACATGAGAGAGTTCAGTTTGTCATTCTCTCCCTGAGCACTAGATGATCTGGCCCTGGCACTTTCCACACTGCACACAGGACATTCAACAGATCTCCTCCTCCCCACACAGCACATAGCTGAGATCAGATTTCCTTATAAACGCAGCCTCAATCTGCACAGTGTGTACCTGGCTGCTAGGTTTTAGTTAGTTTAGTTAGTTTAGTTTAGTTAGTTTAGTTTTAGCAGTAGCCAGCTACAAACTGTGCAGATGGAGGCTGTGTCTGTAAGGAAATACAATCTCAGCTATCTGCTGTGTGGAGAGGAGGAGATCTGAATACCCAGGCTGTGTGCTGTGCGGAGGATCACTGCTGAATGCTCTGCCAGCAGTGACCCTGTCCTGTTGTCTGCTGATGACTGTCTTCTGCTCTGCTGACCCCTTTACAATACTCTACTGACCCCTATCCTCTACCCTGCTGATCTTTGCACACTGCCCTACTGACTTCTGTCCTCTGCATTGCTGACCTCTGTATGCTGACTGCTAACCTGATAAACCCTGTTCTCCATCCTGCTGAATCCTGTCACATGCTCTGTTGACCCCTGTCCTCTTCCCTGCTGACCCCCATCCTCTGCCCTGCTGACCCCCTGTCCTCTGCCCTACTGACCCCCTGTACACTGCCATACTAACCCCCTGTACACTGCCCTACTGACTCTTGTACACTCCCATGCTGACCCCCTGCACACTGTCTTGCTGCTCCCTGTACTCTGCCTTGATAGCACACTGTACACTGCTCTACAAACTAATGGCTCCTGTACACTGCCCTACAAACTGCTGACCCTATCCTCTTCCCTGATGACCCCCTCTACACTGCCCTGCTGAGCTCATATCCTCTACCCCCCCCCTGTCCTGTGGTATAGAGTGCTGGACACTGCCATGAAGGACATTTAACGAAGCAAATACATTTTTAAGTTAAATCCCTTAAACAAGGCTCTGACCCTTGTCCAGACAGTTTTTCAGCATTTTATTACAAACAATTTACCACCTTGATAACATCTAAACTGGTAATTCTCTACAATCATATAATTCAGTTTGGTCACTGCCCAGAGATGTGCTGTTGGCTAATATGTCTAAACGCAAAAAAGATCACATGCTGTCCCAAAACTAAAGGCCTATATAAGTTATTATTTAGTAGGCCAACAGACTCTCCATGGTGATTCCTTCCTTAATATCCCCATATCATTCAGGTTTTATCCCTAGCCACCAAATAACAGACAATATCCGCTTGGATATGAATATTATTTAGGATCCCAACCTTAGGTCCTGTAAGGTTCTCCCCTTAAGCCTGGAGTTTCAGACCCTTTATAATGCTCTTCAGATGATGATCCAATTACATGGATGTAATTCAAAATTTTTTAAGGTTGGTAGGGGACACTCATCAAGGTTGCCTTCATCCACTTTTTTATTTGCCTTTTTTACAGCTATTATACTACACCCAGACTTTAAAGGTTATTTTGCATCCAATTTCCAGTATAAGCTTTTTTTGTATGCGGATGACCTGCTATTGTTTCTCACACAACCAACATCAATACCTAATTTGTCAATTACTTCGAAAAACATTTCTGTATTATCTGGTATATCTGTAAGTATCTCTAAATCTATTGGTATGTCTATTAATTTACCAGAATCCCAGATCAGTGCTTTACGCACTTCTTTTACATTTGCATGGTCTATGTAGTCCATCTCATACCTGGGAATCACACTTAACCCCAATTTACATTCCATATTCTCTAAAAATTGCCTTCCTCTTATTACTAAACTCCAAGATAGTGCATGCTCAAGTTATGGAGCTCTTAACACATTTCTTTTTTGGGAAGAGTTACAGCTGTAAAAATGACAGTTCTCCCTAAAGTGCCTTTCCTGCTTAGAGCCTACCCCAATAGACTTATCAAAACATTTCTAGACTTATTTCAAATAGACATAAATAGATTTATATGGTCTAAGTCCAACCCTTGTTTTTTTAAAACAATATTGCCATATAAATGCAAAATTGCAAATAGCCCAATGGAATATCTATCAGTCTAAAGTTCCCTAGGTTAGATTTGAAAGCGATTGTATTTGCCCTTACTTTCTCCCAGGGCTACTGTGGTCTAAAGACATTTCACAGAGAGACCTTGCTCCTTTAAATAGCCTAGTAAACTAATCCTTTCAAATAAGCAAAAATACGTCTTAGTCTCTCTCAAACCACCACAAACATCATTTATTGGGAACCCAGGCTTTCCCCCCTGGGTATTCTGAGAACGCGGATTTTTCCAGTTGGCAGGATAAAATTTTTAATTTTTATCACAACTCTTGGAAAACTCAATGTTTCTATTTTTTTTGTGTCTCTCCAGGCCTATAAGATCCCTCGACTTGAGCACTTCTGATTTCTTCAAATTCAGCACTTATACTTACTTTTACGCAGTACTCATTGATGCGTGTTTCTTCCTCTACTATGTATGAATGGATCTGTCATAAAACTACTAGGGGTAAGGCTCTTATTTCTGACCTCTGTAACCATATGACATGCATTGATTCCCAGGATAAACTTTCATACATGACCAAATGGGAGACTGATTGTGACATTTCTCTCACCATGGAGGACTGGGATAAATGTGCTACTAACCTCCATAAATGCACCAGATCATTTACGATCTGTGAAACCACAATAGGCTCTTTACTAGATGGTACTTAACCCTTGTGAAGCTACATGCTATCTTCCCAGTGGTGCTGCCTACATATTTGAGAAGATGCCTCTCTCCCAGTTTATTCCCTCATATCTTTTGTCCCCCCGCCCCTTTCCTGACTGGCCAGACTGCATGCTCGGATAAGGGTCTGGCATGGAATTTGGGGGGAACCCCACGCCGTTTTTTTTTTTTGTTTTTTTTTTTTAATTTTGGCGTGGAGTTACCCCTTAATATCCATACCAGACCCAAAGGGCTTGGTATGGATGGGAGGAGGGACCCCACGCCTTTTTTTTTTTTTAATTGCAGACATTTATTTTTAGATTCAGCTGTCAAAATAAATATTATCTAGACCCTCGAAATAAGTAAAATCATTACAGAAATAATTATAAAGGATAAGAAACAAAAACAGAATCACTAGAACTAAGGAAATCAAATCAGAATACATAAAGATATGCCTAGCTAAAAATAGTGCTGTTTGTTAAACACAGTAGACGCGATCGAGTGCCGTCTGTCAGTGTATTCCACACAGAGATTTACTATTGAACAGCGTCTAAAAAGAAAGCGCCCACGGCAGAATTCTAAAATGTGTTCTGCACATGCGCATTTACTGTATATCAGGCCATAGACACTGAAAAAGTGTCCAGTTCTTCACTGTGACGACTTGCTTTATAAAAAACTATTTTTTTACACATTTAAAAAAAATGTTGAAATGTCAGATATTGTTTAAAGTGAAGTCCTGATATTTGGCAAAGCAAATTTCAATGTGAACATGTCTCTGCAGTGATTTTTCATGGTGTTAGACGTGCTTCTTAGCAAGTCTGCTTTTTGAGTCTAATTCCTGGACTGTGTCTGGTTAGTAAATTTGATTTGGCATCTACTTGTTGATGCTTTCTTTAGTAAATGTCTTTGACGTCTAAAAGTAGACGATCGCTATTAAAAAGTAGACGTTAGCCCACGGAAATGCGCCTAGGCACAATAGTAAATCAGGGTCATAGTAACACACAAATTCCAGTGAGCATCAATGTAAATGTTTCTGTATTGGACTATTTTAATTAATTGGACTTCCTCTCAAAAAAAAAAGTCCATAGGTGTTAGGTCGGGTGAACATGGGCAGTCAAAGCTGCCACATTACCCGATCTAATGATGTGAGAGGGTGTTGACAAGGTAAATCTGTACCAACAAAGCAAAATCAGGAATGGTCCCATTATAATGTGTAATATACAATAATGTATAAGTAATGAAGAATTAATATAAAACCTACTTTTGGCCAAATACACAAAATATATATACTGCTCAAAAAAAATTAAAGGAACACTTTTTAATCAGAGTATAGCATCAAGTCAGTTAAACTCCTGGGATATTGATCTTGTCAGTTAAGAAGCAAAAGGGGTTGTTAATTAGTTTTAGCTGCTTTAGTGTTAAGAAATTAACAACAGGTGCACTAGATGGGCAACAATAAGACGACCCCCAAAACAGGAATGGTTTTATAGGTGGAGGCCATTGACATTTTTGCTCCTACTCCTCTTTTCTGACTGTTTTTCACTAGTTTTGCATTTGCTAGGGTCAGTGTCACTACTGGTAGCATGGACCCTGCAAAGGTTGCACAGGCAGTCCAACTCCTCCAGGATGGCACATCAATACGTGTCATTGCCAGAAGCTTTGCTGTGTCTCCCAGCACAGTCTCAAGAGCATGGAGGAGATTCCAGGAGACAGGCAGTTACTCTAGGAGAGCTGGACAGGGCCGTAGAAGGTCCTTAACCCATCAGAAGGACCAGTATCTGCACTTTTGTGCAAGGAGGAACAGGATGAGCACTGCCAGAGCCCTACAAAATGACCTCCAGCAGGCCACTGGTGTAAATGTCTCTGGCCAAACAATAAGAAACAGACTTCATGAGGGAGGGCCGATGTCCTCTAGTGGGCCCTGTGCTCACTACCCAGCACCATATAGCTCGATTGGCATTTGCCATTGAACACCAGAATTGGCAGGTCCGCCACTGGCGCCTGCCACTGCGCAGGTGAGAGCAGGTTTACCCTGAGCACATGTGACAGACGTGAAAGAGTCTGGAGAAGCCATGGACAATGTTATGCTGCCTGTAACATCATTCAGCATGACCATTTTGCTGGTGAGTCAGTGATGGTCTGGGGAGGAATATTCATGGAGGGACGCACAGACCTCTGCAGGCTAGACAATGGCACCCTGACTGCAATTAGGTAATGGGATGAAATCCTTGGACCTATTGTCAGACACTACGCTGGTGCTGTGAGTCCTGGGTTCCTCCTGGTGTACGACAATGCCCAGCCTCCTGTGGCGAGAGCAGGGCTGGACTGACCATTTGGAAACTTGGGCACTGCCTGAGGGCCCGGTGTCAGTAGGGGGGCCCATGAGAGGCCCCTGGTACCTTTTTCATAGGCTTTTTTGAGTTTGGGCAAGGACACAGGGGCCCCATGATCCCCTATTGCCCGGGGGCCCCATGAGTTGTCAGTCCGCCCCTGGGCGAGAGTATGCAGGCCAGGGGCGGACTTACAACTCATGGGGCCCCCGGGCAATAAGTGATCATGGGGCCCCTGTGCCCTTGCCCAAACTCAAAAAAGCCTATTAAAAAGGTACCAGGGGTCTCTCATGGGGCCCCCTACTGACCCCGGGCCCTCGGGCAGTGCTCGAGTTTCCAAATGGTCAGTTTGCCCCTGATGCAGGCAGTTCCTGGAGGATGAAGGAATTGATACAATTGAATGGCCCCAATGCTCTCCTGACCTAAATTCAATAGAACACCTCTGGGATATCATATTTAGTTCCATTCGACGACTCATGGTTGCACCTCAGACTGTCCAGGAGCTCAGTGATGCCCTGGTCCAGATCTGGGAGGAAATACCCCAGGACACCATCCGTTGTCTCATTAGGAGCATGCCCCAACGTTGTCAGGCATGCATACAAGCACGTGGGGCCATACAAACTAATGAGTACCATTTTTAGTTGCTGCAATGAAATTTCAGCAAAATGGACTAGCCTGCT